AGGCTCACATGATCGTATCTGTTATCTTACCGTCTGTTAATTGTTTTCTAAGTGTGTTTACACTTTATATTTGATTTTTATTTAGTACAAGTAAAGTATTAAGTACAGTCTATAGCTTCAGTGAAGTACCTAGTGCAGCAGTCGTCAAGATTTACTGTAAGTAATCATTATCTTAAAATTATCTGGGAGGGTAATATGATAAGGTATCATATCATCTGCCATTATCTGGACGTGTCTAAAGTTCCTCCATGTCTTCACCTGTAGATTGCTGATTTTTGCATTCAATTTAAAGAACATTTCAATAGATTCAAGAAATTTCAATAAATAATAATTATGAACATTCAAGTCTCAGTTTCTCATTAAATAATAGTGCGAGATAGTTAATCCACTTAACCAAGTGCGGTTTGCTTAAATTCTTATGTTTTCATTTCTGTAACCTGCTTGTATTTTTGTAAATTTAGAATTGATTGATTTTTGTTATCTTTTGTGTTGGTTATAACTTTTACTCATTTTTTTAGCTGTAATATCTCGAGATACGCCAAAACTTTATTTGTACATGATTGTATTATATATCTTTGTAAAGGTATTTTCTAATTATATTACTGCTTATTTTTATATGTATACCACCATTTTATAGTTATTGGTGTATTTTTATGACTTGTGTTGCATTTAGCAGCGTCATAATTTTGTTGTTGAATATATTGTTATTGTTTTATGTATGTATTTTATTTGTCGGCTCCTAACAAGTTCCCTGATAAAATAGTAACTCTGAATATTTGCTTTTTAACTTTAAATATTACTATACCTTTGACCAGTAGAAAGATCAGGCTGATTAAGTTTCGTAGGTAAGTAAATGTAATACCTAATATATTTATTATTTGTTTATATAATGTGTTGACCAAATTTATTTGATAATGTTGGTATCTTTCCTTGGGTTTGATCTCTGAACCTAAATATCTTTCCTTATCTCTTTTCTTTTCTAAGGTTTCTTAATTTTCTCCTTAACGCCAAAAAATTGAGTGGCGCCCTGTTTCTATCTTATCGTATTTTTGGTAATTTTACCCATCTATCTTTTTGTTTATTTCAGTATCTTTTCTAATATCTCTTATCCTATCTTTACTTATTTCATACGTTGGACCCATTCTCGGTTCCAAAAGCTAGTTTCGAACCCACGACTCGCTCTCCACCAATCATCTGGCTGCCGTCCGCAGTGTCTCCATTGGTGACCTTTCTAGCACCATCCAAAAAGGTTTCCGAGGTTACAGCTTCTCTGTTGGTGAGGAAGATAGAGAGTGAACAGATGCAATGCGCTCTTATTGTGAGTACGCATGGCCGGTATGCGATCGATCCAATGTTTTAACCTTGTTTAGGCTATTGCCTCTTCAACTGGTATGCTCGATCTATGTTAATATATACGTCATACGTCTATGGCTTTTCAGCAATTAAATCATGTTTAATTTATTTTTTTTCGCATTATTCAACATTTGTAAAAACATCGATGTTTGTATAACATCGATGTTTTTTTTCTCGATATATCGTTACTATCAATGTTCAGGTTCGATGCTAAACATCGATGTTTTTTACCGATGTCGCATCCCTACTCTAGGTTAACTTTTTTTTCTTTTAAGTTTGTAAAAAAATGCAGGCTTTCTAAATATGAAAAAATAGTTTTCTTGCATGAGATAATTAAAAAGTTATTCATTCTAATTGTTTGTAAGCAAAAAATCAACATTTAATATTGTTGATAGAACAATCTTTCTTCTTTTATAAACTATCCTTAGGATTACTGTAACTTCATCATTTTCTGATTTATATTGTTGCAAATAAAAATAAATTTGTCATAAACAAATAAAAAACCTTTTAAACAAATTGACTGATCGCTTTGAAATTTTGGCCATATTTTAATCACTACACGACCCAACATTTCGTGTAATATGACAATAGTAAGTTTATTTTTAAAAAAGTTATAAACCTTTATAAAAAACTGAAATTTCTGACTTACTTTGCAACTTTCTAAATAACAAATAAGGATAAAAACATTTGAAAAACCCCATTTTGAAGGTTTTTATATGATATAAAGTTTATTACTACTTATTAAATTTGTTTTATTGCTATACTTTTTGCTCATAGATGAAAAAATTGAAAATTTTTGTTGTGTCTTCCAATGTACAAAAAAGCAAAGACCATTTAAAAAACAATGTAAAATTAGTAGAAACACTAAATAAGTAGATTTTGGCACTAAATACTAGAATGACTACAAACTCAACAAATTAACCTAATATAAAAAAGAAATAGTTTTCTATTTGTATCTATAAAAAAATAGTAAAAATAATCATCTATACCAGCGGTCGGAGAACTTTTTTAATCATTACCCCAAAACATTTTTGTGTAAGTTGATATTACCCAAGGCAAAAAGCAAAAAAAGGCCTCTTTTTAGCATCATTCATATTATAGCCCCCATGATAGTTTTGAACAGAAAACAATAACTAAAACATAAAATACACATCATTTATTCAATTTCTATGATACCTAGAAATACATAACATAATAATAGATAACAATAATAAGATATAAAAAATTAAAACCCATTGCGGTACTTTAACAAATTATAATAATAATAATGGTTGTACTAACAAAAATTAGATTTGAAAAAATTATAAAAAAAGAATAATTAAAAACATTCTTCCTTCACGTTTTGGAGAAATGATATTGTTTCATGTTCGATACAATTGCTTCAAAATTGGGACTTTTTGATGTAAGAGCGATTTGAATACAGTCTTCGGCGTTTAATCGATTTCTGTTCTTCGTTTTTATGTTCACTAGAGTGGAAAAGCCTTGTTCGCACAAATATGTTGTTCCAAATGGCAGTAATTTTTTAACCGCCTCTTCATGTGCAATTTTGAAAGCCTTTGCAGCTTTTGATATCCAAAAAGACGACAGATTTGGTTTACTCTCAAATTGGATACGTGCTTCAGTATTAGATCAAAGTTCAAGAATTGCTTCTGCCAAACCTGAAGGTTCTTTTGGTATCATATCAATTTCACATTTAAAAGGATCTACAATCCAACTGACAGTACGTATATCAAGATCTGGAAAGTAATCTGAAAACCGCTTTCTGAGTTTGATAAGGTGTCTTACAAGTGTATCCTTGATGTCAGCAAAATTAATATTTTCGCAATCTTCCAAAAACAAAGCTAATCTTGAAAAAGAAGCTATCTTGTTCTTTTCTACTTTCTGACTCCAAAATTGCAGCTTTAATCCAAACGCTGACACTATTTCTCTCGCTGAAATGATATTAATATTCTTTCCTTGCAATTCTTTGTTTAATATATTTATACTCTCAAAAATGTCAGCTAAATATGCGAGATATGCAACCCAGGAAGAGTTTTTAAACTTATCTGCGAGAATATTTTTTTGATTAACCATAAAAATTTCCACTTGAGTTTTGAGATCCATACTCGATTTAGTACATTTCCGCGAGAGAGCCACCTTACTTCTGTATAATAAAGTAGGTCCGTATATTCGGCTTCACCGTCCTGACATAATTCACGAAATAGCAGCGTGTTTAGTGCATGTCCCTTGATAAAATTTACAATCTTGATGACATCATGCATGACGGCTTCCAGTGTAGGTTCTAAATATTTGACCATAAGGGCCTGGCGATGGATTATAGAGCGAATAACTTCAATATTTGGGTTATATATTTTTACGAAAGCCGAAAAACTATTAATATGGCCCAGAATAGCTGGAGCTCCATCCAAAGATACTGAAATACAGTTTTCCCATTTTAAACTTTGCGCATTGAAGTATTCATTTACTTTATTGTAGACATCAATTCCACGAGATCTTAACTCGAGATGAGAACAAAACAGCAATTTCTCTTCAAAATTATCTGCACCTTTGTAGCGAACATATACCATTAGCTGTGAATTGTTACTAAAATCAGTTATCTCATGAAGCTGAATAGCAAAATATTTAGTCTGTTTTAATGAGAAAATAACTTGTTCCTTCACATTTTCTGCTAATATAGAAATTCGCTGATGAAATGTACCAAACAAGTTGCTATTCAATCTTCGTCTTTTAACAGATATTTCTAAATTTGCAAAGTATTCTCGCGGTTTGGAAGACAGGTGTGAATGCAAATTATGTAAATGTTTCTTCAGTTAACTTTTTTTGAAAGATTCTGGAGTCAATACCTTCATACATACAACACACTGTGGTTTGATTGTACCATTGTCTTCTATTTGTGTAAAACCGTAATTAAGGAATTCGTCTTGATATTTTCTTTTTCTATTTGCTGCCATCTGAAGGAGACAGAAAATAATAGTTGTAAAATACTTAAATTAAATTTTCAAATTGCGGCTTACCTTGATCGATATATCGATGGTTAATGATTGTCAGCAACTAACTATAACTCTCTGGCTCGTCAATTTATTTGTATTCTGACTGCACGGCACGGACTGAGCAGTCTTTATATGCCCTCCCAGGGCATATAAAAAATTTACAAAGGATAGTAGGAAAATGTAATTTATCTTTCACAAATAATACAAAAAAATTTCGGTGCATGCAAAACAGGTTTATAAAAAATCAAATTAAAATATATACTTTTTGCTTACAAGTTTCATTTTTACCCCCAAAAATTTCATTTTTACCCCATTTGGGGTAATTTACCCCGGTTCCCCGACCGCTGATCTATACCATAAGGGTACTTAATATTATACACACCTTCAATATAATAAAAATATACAAGCAAAATCTGTATTGTCAGAGAAATAACAGCTTCTAATAGTTATTGTAAACAAAATTAATAAAGTTCGAGATTACAGAGACCTAGATCTGGTCTATTTCAAAACTAGTATGTTGATTAATAATACAAAAATATAGTTAGATATTCAAAGAGTTTTTATCCTTAAAAATTCTTCAATTAAGTATCAAATAGACCACAATCACAAATTTTATTACCAATTGAAATAACTGTATAAAATAAAAAGCAAATCTACCTTTTTCTGTGCAATTTTCAAATAGTTTTTCTGAAATTTGTTTTCCTTGCTGACACCAAGCTATCAAAGCAAGGGTTTTATAAAAATTTGTCCTATTTACATCTCCTACCGAAGTTCCCACTATCTTACAAATTTTTTCGATTTGTGCAGAAGAGAGTTTGCATTTTAAGAGTAAACTTTGATAAACATCAGGAAGTACTGGTTGGCCATCATTGGAACAAGCATCAAAAACTTGTCGGTACAATTGGGGAACAGAAGCTACAAAATATAAAAGTTAGAGTACGTAAATAAATATTTCTGTAAATTACAATACCAGAACTAAGATCTGTTGACATTGTGTAATATCCACAACATATTAGCTAGTTCCAAATCCAAATAGCTGTCAACTTCTAAATCGTACTGTTTTGGAATTTCCACGCATTTACAGCTAAAAATAACTATATGATAAGGCACTTTATGGTAGGCGGTATGATATATAAAACCGGATATTTTAATTATCTTATGAAATATGGAAATACTTTAACATAACCTACATTACATGTGTTAATGTTGACAAAAAAATGACATTTAATACTTTACAAACGTTATGGGAATTAGCACACCTAAACTGACAGTTAAGTATTCGGAGCAAGCGCATCTATGGTTTATCTCATATTACACATTAGCGTATCATTTATAAAAAACAGGGTAGGAATCCACTTTCGCATGAATTTAAATAAACAAAAAAGTAAATAAAGTCTTAAATAATTTTCCTTACCATCTTATTTCCTTATCCTTTATACCGTTGACACACGTTTAAACACATGTGCTTATTTCAAAACAAAATAGATATAGATAAGACACGAATAATTGATTACAGGTATTACAATGTGACGTGTAACAAAGTCTATCATTATAATAAAAATTTTTCCCACATTATGTTACTAAGTCTTATTATCATAGGACCTGCTTTTAAAAGGGTCGTATGAAAAACTTTATGTTTTATAGTTACTTTTAGATAGGTATACATTAATTTCTATTCAGACTATTTACGTTTAGGTAGGTATAAGGTATATTTATTTAGATACACTCCTGGGTTCGGAACCGTTACTGATAGGTACATTCACGCGCAATAGATGAGAAAGTTGTAAATCCCTGACCACTGCATTAATTTATATTCTGATACAAATTCAAAGATTATTCTTATGTTTAAAATATGTATTAACAATATATCAAACAAATATCGTGGAAAAAAACTAAGGAGTGGGTAAAAGAATTAAAAATTTACAGTTAGTAAAACCCTAAAGTTCATTCGAAGTGGATGTTATACCTATGTAGGATGAAAATGATGATTCCATTAAAAGTTTCGTTACTTTACTGGATAAAACAAATCTGAAGCCGATAATAATTAAAAATAATTAAAATTGAAATAATAAATTACAAAAAGATTTTTAATGCCAGAAACACAATTAAAAAAAATTAACTCTTTTATGCGTTATAAGTATTTCACCATATACCGATGTTATAATGGGACCAAGGACTTTCTCAGGACCAAGCGACAAAAGGAATCGGATCCAGCATCTGAATCTGCTATTTAAATATATCATGTATTGGTATATAGAAGTACCTAAATGTGAGTACGTGAGTACCTTCAAAAGGTACTCATTGAAAATAATATCGACGTGGTCGCAATTCAGGAAACTTATGTAGAAAACGAAGAACAAATTCTCGCTAGAAGAATTCATGGCTATGATTTATTGGGTGCAACTTACCACCCAGCTTATGGAGTGACAACCTATGTTTGAAACAAAATAGAAAATACACACATATGTTCTACATCAGACATAGGTAAATAACATTCATACGGTTAATATAAAAATTGGCGAAATAACTGTCAGCAATATTTATAACTCCCGGCAGTCCGGTGGCCTCCGCATGGTATTAACTCCCACTCACACCCCTCAGCTAAATATCGGGGAATTTTTCGATCTGCAGGGGGCGAGAATACAACCCGGACCTATATTTGTTTCCATAAATGAAAACAATCCACAAAACTCGTTAACTCGCTAACTAGTTAGCCCTAGACTCCAGCACAAATCAGAGGTAATGTAAGTCAATAAAACCTCACCAACTACAGGGGGTCATGTAAGATGCCCCCATTTTCAGTTTTTAGTAATCTACAAATCAACAGTCTATTGCATTTACCCTCATAAACACCTTGAGGATAGTTTTTTAATACGGAGTTCTCGACTATTTTTTCATGTGGCCATACAATGTTTTTTTGACAACTTTTTATTAAACTGATGATGGAATGAGTTTATTCCGAAAAGATCTTCTTTAAAATAAAAGTTTTAAGCTTTTAATAAGCATTTTTTTATACCTTAATACACACGACCACCACGTGCTTTGTATCAGAAATTAAGTCTGAAAAGGCACCCGGCTTCGATAAAATCCATCCAGAATTGTTATTCCAATGACAAATATGCTAGGAAATGACTAGCTGATTTCTATACAGATATGTTAAAATCAGAAGAAATCCCCCAATCACTTAAAAGGCCTCCATTATAGCTAAAACCAGGAAAGACAAATGATCAGCCCTCAAACCACCGACCGATTTCACTGCTAAGCTGTGTCTAGAAACTGTCGGAACGCTTAATCTACAATAGAATGAGTAAAAACATATTTAAATTGATACCTATTGAGCAAGCAGGGTTCAGTATGCATACGATACTGTCTAAAGACAAGGACTAATCTGCCAACTAATCCGTGCCATCACGTGTCAAAAGGTAACTAAACTCATTAATAGCATGCTCACCGACAGACCTTTTCAAGTCGCAATGGGCAACTTTAAAAGTGTCTAAATGAAGCTCAGCAATGGACTGCCACAGGGATCTGTTTGGGCAACCTTATTGTTTAATTTATACATCGCGGACATATCTTGGACAACTTCGCAGAAATTTGACTACGCTGACGACTGGGTCATTGCATCAAGACATAACAACATGGATATTACAGAAACAATACTAACGGATGACGTTGCCATTATGGGAGAATACTTTCGCAAATGGAGGCTACGACCCAATGCAACGAAAACCGAAGTGTGCTGTTTCCATCTGAATAATGCCCAAGCCAACAAAACAAAAAACTCTCCGTCCACTTTGAAAACAGACTGCTCACTCATAACTCAACACCAAAACCTCTTGGAGTGACTCTGTGAGTCTTACTGTGAGAACAGTGAGTTTTAAAGAACACCTACAAAAACGGTAGCAAAATTGAAAATACTAAATAATATAATCCAAAAGCTATGTGGCACCACATGAAGGTCCTCAGCTTCCGTACTCAGATCATCCGCTCTCGGACTTATATACTCGGCGGCTGAATATGCTTCCTCCGTATGGCTCAATAGCAAACACACGAAGATTATTGACACCCAATTAAACCAGACAATGTAAATTATCTCAGGTACAATTAGAGCCACACCGAACTATTGTTTTCCCATTCTGAGTCACATTTCACCGCCGAAACTGCGAAGAAGTCATTCTCTTCTCAGAGAATATTGAAAAATCGAGGCTAACCATCAATTACTTATCCACCATGATAATCTTGATATTGAAATAAACAGACTGCGCTTCAGATATCCACCATTGCTAAGAGCTAACTCCTTACATCAGGAACATTTCAACCTCAAAAACGCTTGGAGAAGACAATGGGAGAGCGTCTCACACAGGAAGCACACCAAATGGCCTGTATCGATCAGAAACTGCCAGGCTTTGAACTGACCCGCAATACATGGACAACGCTAAACAGAATAAGAACAAGCAGGAGTAGATGTACTGACACCTTATACAGATGGGGAAGACTGTGGTGCGCAACGACAGACCGTCCTTCACATTGTTGAAGAATGTCCCCGAAGGCGATTCACTGGCGTTTCCGATGAGTTCCTGAATGCGACCAAAAATGTTATACATTATATTAATAATATAATACATTAGATGTTCGTTTGTAATATTTCATGTAACGTTTTATATTGATTTTTAATTACGTGTTCTTATTGTATGTCATACGATAAATAAATACAAAAATGCACTTTTGACTTGCTTGACTTTTGACTTTGAAACGCTTGAGCTAGCTGGATCTTTGCCAAATTCAAGATTTTATCTTTGTCCACCTGTTTAATTACTAATAAGTCTCCTCCTCGTTCCTTGAGCCCTCTTCAAGACGTGGTTACACTCTAAATATTATTAGCTTGCTGTCTCCAGCAGCTGCGATCCTGTGCCATATAGATGGCTTCATACAGGGATTTTCCCACCAGAGTCTTCATACCAGGGTCTCATATTCCAAGGAAAAATCTCGGGAAAGAGAAATGTGGGACATAGGAGGAGTTCCTGGTTGCGAAATTTAAGGGAGTGGTATAGGTGCAGTTCAATGCAGTTGTTCAGAGCTGCAGCAAACAAAGTAAAGATTGCTGTGATGGTAGCCAACCTCCGATAGAAGACGGTACTGCAAGAAGAAGAATTTATCTGTTTTATTTTTATGTGTATTGCAACCCTTTGTTGAAATAAAGTGTTTATTTGTTAAATGCCATTCGCATTTCAACTATTTTTTTTTAATTTATTTTCTTTTGTTTTAAACTCACGTATTTATTAATTTATTCTACTACCAACAAGTCAAGTTTGTTACTTTTTAACTTTCCTCTTTTATTTACAAAAGGTTAAGTGGCGCCCTTTTTCTATTTTTTCTTCTTATATGTAGTAATATTATCATCTATCTATCTTATCGTATTTCTAATAATTTGTTCTTTTACACCAAATACCAATTTCAAAAGCTAGTTTCAAACTCACGACTTGCTCTCCTCCAACCATCTAGCTCCGTTCATATTATATCAATTGGTAACCTTTCTAACTATATCAAAATAAAAATGGTTACACATTGGTTAATGTCCAATAACCCAAATCCTTAGGAATCGAATTAAATACTTCATAGGAAAAAAATAGTAGAAATATATATGTTTACATACGTTACCTATTCTGCCGTCCTAACATGAAAGGTCCTATCTGCAAAATTTAGGTTTTGAGAAAATCAAGTTTTTGTTTCTTTTCATTGTATAACGCTTGGTAATTTAAAGAAATCTTTATGTTTTATTTTATATATTATGTCAGAGAATAGAATTTAATTGCTAGTCAGAATTTTGTTTTATTCTTTCCAGATTAGTCGATTTTTGATTAAATTGCCACTTAGGACAATTTAGCTTAGTGTATCTGAAGTACGTTTTTTTGTATTACTTACTGAAATTGTCCTAAATAAAACTAAAATTCAAATTAACTGAACACTTTTAATTTTATTATACTAAGTTTTATAAAATAATAGAACAAAAAATAGTATTCCTCAAGAATGGAGATCAAGGGAATGGGAATTAATTTATGAAACTAAAATTAACAACCAATGTGATAACAAATAAACTGAATGAAATTATAACACTGGCAGAAGAACCACAAGGTTTTAGGTCGGGAAGATTATGTATCGACGCTATATTTATAATGAGGCAAATGCAAGAGAAATCATTAGAATACAACAAACCGGCATATCTACGTTTCGTGAACCTTAAAAAGGTATTTGACTGGGTTAAACTA